CGGTGTTTGTGCATGTGTTTGTGATAACCATTATTTTGTAAATATATATACCATACCCTGTAAATTCATTTAGATTGCTCTGAAGATGTTGTATTGTAAACAACGAAACGTTAGCTAATTAAATTTTTACTTTTATTATGTTTGGTTTTAAAGTCATTTGCTGGGCTTTGCTCTTTATCTTTAAACTAAGATTTCCGCCTGGTGTATCAATTTTAGAACTTATTTCATCATATCCTGCACTTTTGTTTGTATTTAGTTTTTCAATCTCAGTTATTATTTCATATTCAGTAATAGGTTCAGCGAACATACTTTCTGGATAATTACCTTTGAGATAATTTTCGAATTTTATTGTGTCATTTTTTTTAATACTTTTCGCCAGATTTGGTCCAACATTTACAAAATATTCATTAAATTTGTTTGCAATCACAACTGGGTCAGAAAAACTAACATCTGAATTATTTTGTTGAAACGTGTCCGGCAATCTTTCTTTGTTTTTATTTCGATTTAATATTCGATTTATAGTTTGCCATGTCATTTTGTTATTGTTTTTGTATTTAATAAATTGATTTTCAAAATAATCTTATTTTGTTATTTTGATTAAATGTTTTAATTTATTTTTTTAGTTTTTGTAGACTGTTTGGTTCTTTTTACTTGGGTTTTTAAGGCATTTCTTATAAAGACGGTTTTTTATTTCTATAGACTTTGAAATACCTTGAGTCATCCAAGGACTTTTACCATAATCAATAGTTCTTTTTCTCCTTTTTGCTAAGGGAAAGCTTTTTTCAAACGCAAGTATAATTTTATTATGAAAACTGTTGTACGATTCGCAGGCATCATTGTTTTCAAAAATGAAATCCCATGATATATCTTTCACTGAATTTGAAAATGATGCGAGATTATCATTGTTTATTGTTCTTTGATGTTGTGAAGTTTCTTCATTGGAATTATGTTTTTTCATTGTTAGTGATGCGATAGGAAAAATAGGAAGATGATCTGAGATATCAGTAAAAATTAATCCATTCTTACTGAATTCAATTTGTTCAAGGTCATTGGTGAATATATTGTCAATTAACGTGGCAGTGTGTTCCGTTATCCTTGTTGGTCTTGTAATAAGAGGAAAAAATGATGATGTAAAAAATTGCTCACTGAATCTATTAGAAAAGTCACAACTTTCTGATTTTAAAAGGTCAATGTTAAAATCCCCCCAAAAAATACGTTACTTTGTTTGACTTATCAACTTTACTGAGAATTTTGTTTAAATTAGTTTCAAATATTTCAAATTTACCATTTGGTGGTCTATAAAGTGTGCCAACTATTATGTTTTTGCCAACTGTTGTAATAATTTCAATGAAGAGTGATTCGATTATTCCCTCTTCGTTGATATCAAGGTCTGGACGAAATTTAAAGTTTAAGTCATTGGAAATAAACATTCCAACGCCTCCTCCTTTTTTCTTGTTTCTGTTTGTGCTAACAAAGTTAAAATTATCTAGTTTATAATCTGTGCAGTTTTCATTATCAACCCAAGTTTCCGTTAAACTGATTATCGAAAATGAATGTTTTAGTGATTTTAACAAATATTTTAAAGATTCAAATTTGTTTATAATACTTCTTATGTTTAAATATAAAATAGGAAAGTGCTCGTTTCTAGGTATATCCCGCGACATATCATTCGGAAGATAGTATTTGCATGAAATGTTATTAATGTTAGTAAGTATATCGTAATCATCATTACCTATAAATGTGTGTTTAGTGTCAAAAGGATTAAATTTAAGTCTCATTAATTTATGAATATCCTCCTCACTGGGAAGTCGAGAGAAATCCCCAAAAGCAAAATTAAAATCTAATGGATCTATTGAGTTAAAAGGTAACGAGTTGCTTAAGCATATGTGGCATGTATCAATTTCCGTATTAATGAGTGTTTGATATCCTGCTCATCAGCACTACACTGATGAGGCCCATAAGGCCGAAACGGTACTGTCGCTCGAAGATTGCTATTAGACTTCGGACATTATCTTTATATTCTTTCCTTTCTTTGGTTCTGACTGAATTGATAAACTCAGACACGTGGTCGTTCATGCAGTTCGATCTGCTGTCAGAATATCTTCCATTTTTCTTTCCTCATTCCTGGTTTCCAAAAACAAGTGTAATACAGTAATAGTTTTACATCTCGTTCGGTTTATTGTGAGGTACTAGCTTTATTTTCTTGTTCTGAAATACAATTGTCAACAGAAACGGCGTCCGTAAATCACGCAGCCATTTTGATTTTCAAATTGAAATAGGTTTCGCGTATTTTCCAGTACGATCATTTTTCACTAGTGAAAAAACATCGTTCTTCCAATCAGACTGCGCGAACGATGTTGTTTCGTTAGTCAAATTTCATCGTTCGCGTCGCTGATTGGTTGTGGCAAAATTCCGTACGTTTATTACGCAATGTCATTTTAATGAATAAATCTCAGTACTTCTAATAAAAAGGATATTGTCACTGAAATCTTTTTTGTCATTGATATCGTTGTTTCCTCGCGGATGTTGTGTGTTGCGAAGCAACATCTGTGAGTCTTTGTGGTTACTTAAGTGTGGGGCAGTTAAACAATTGGCATAGGTGAACGGGGTGGGAGACATCTGCCTCCCTATTCAAAATGAAGTCGGGCAAATTATAAACGTAAGTCGGGGAAAAATTGGGGAGAAAGAACTTTAAAACATAGACATATGCAATATAGTAGTTTAAATTACAATAATTATGTAAAAGTAACAAGGAATTTTAAAAGATTAGGAAACTTTTATTCGTCGACCCCTAACCCAAAACAATTTTGAAAAGTTTACACGAAAAAATCTTCCTGTAAGTTGGGAACAATGGGGAAAAGTCGGGTAAATTTCCTTCCGCCCCCTATTTTTTCCCTCCCGTACGTCCATGACAATGGGAAATGACCGGCATGCTTTGCGCGCACTGTTTGCTTATAAATCGGGCTTTTCAGAACGGGAAATCGGGCTGGAGCATGCGTTCGTAAGGTTCGTTCTTTTGGTTTGGCAATTGGCAATGAAAGAAGCACGACAAATGGCAAAATTCGCATGGTGCTCGTTTGCAAAAATAACTGCAAACTGCTCTAATTCTTTTTGTCACTTTCATTTAATCTTATAACCGTGAGTAGGTCTCAACCAAGCTCAACGGTCTGTGATTTTTCACTGATATCGCTTTTTGTCCCGCTATATATTTGTCGCTTTCAAAACAAAGATGGCGGAATCAAGATTCGTGTTTACTCGATGACTTTGTTCACAGCTTTTTAAAATATCGAAGAATAAAATGATAATACAAAGCGACAAACAGAAAGCGACTGACCGCTATTCAAAGACAATTTAATCTTAGTTTGTTTTTGTTAAGTTTTATCTGTTAAGTCTATTTTTTTAAAAGTTGTTGCATTTTGCGCAATGATTATTTTTAAAATAAATGCTGACCCTGATAAAAGCGCAATATGATATCTTCCTAGCTCGAACGGTAAAACTGATATCACCTCACCTCTCATATATGATAACCTATATACATATATATGTACATAGCGTCAGTTAAAGTAGACATTGATAAACTACATATAACTAAAACGAGATTCTATTATCATTCTAGTTGTTAGTTGTATGATTTATATGATTTAATAATCGATAAATAAAGTTTACATTATTATATAAATACAAAGAACATATTTTGAGGAACAAAGAACAAACTTTGACACGGCAAATACCCTTGATATGAATCAAGTAACAAACAGGGGCGGATCCAGGATTTTTTGTACGTTAGTCAAAGTTTTCGGATGTACAATCTAGTGTTGCGGGCGGAGAATGCGCGAGGCACCAAGGGGGGTCTGTCCCCCAGGAATTTTTATATTTTTAAACCTCCGAAACGCAATTTGCATACTCTGAAAGCAACTTCAACAAAAAATTAACTTCATGAAATGGGAGATAATTATAGCAACTATCCAGAGGCAACTTTCAGTCTGACTGACTCTCACAACTGGCTCCTTAGGGAAAAGTAAAGGAGAAGTACTTGCAGAAATGTGCAGTGATAAGTGTGGAAGATGTTTCATTTTATCAAATTACGGATTGCTAGTATTATGTTTAACTATCTCATGATAGTACTACACTCATTTTTGTTGCCTAATAGCCTTGTTGAGTCATTGATCACTTGACTAGTAATCACTACAGTGTCATATTACTCAAATAAACATATCAATATTTAATAAAGTCTTAACATTCATCTATAAAATCTGACCTTTATATCCTATGTACACTGCATTAATGCATTTATATAGGTTATCCTCCATATTAATAGCCTTCTGAGTTCCGACGGACCTTCAACCGCAGATTTACAAATATGCAAATTTGTTGTGTAAATCAAAATTCATAGCTAAATCTAAATCAAGATACGCGTATTCAAGTTACAATTTTACATATGCAACGGCGCACATCTTGTTCGCTTATAAATATTGTTATGCTGTCTAAAACGAAATAAAATTTACATATCATATTAAATTTACCTTATTGCACTTCAGAATAAAGATCTTGGCGCCAATACTTCTACTCAAACAGTCAAACTGTAGTTCGTCCTATTCGTCGTGGCGCTTACGCCGCTTAGCAACTGCTCACTGAATGGAACTCTCCGATATTTAGCGTTTATTTTCCTCCCAAGGTCAGCGCAACAGTCTTGTAAGACAGCTAAATAATTCACCGCAAATGCGGATTGAACCGTTTCGTGAATACTACAAGTCTACAAGGACTGGAGTCTGGAGCAGCAGACATTTCCGTGGACAAAGCTACAACATGACACTTCAAATGAGCGCGCGCTCGGAAAGACTTTACCACTTATTTTGAATCCCTTGGGTAAATCTTTTCATATTGGTCCGTGGTCGGAGTAATTGGGTCTACAGGGTTCACATTTTCATTATCGTTAGTCTTAGTATCATCCCTGTCATCATGATCATCATCATTATTGTCGAGTCTACTTTGATCAAATGATGACGAGGATGCTACAGTATCTTCTATTTTGGAATAATAAGAAGTATCTAGTCAATTGTTATTCCTAGTTGTAGTACGATTTTAATAAGGAGTAGATAAGGAAAAGAACAAACTTTTGCAAAATAGAATGTTATGTTAACACTTTTAATAAAAGGAAATCAACAACTTTCCTATCCGTCCAGCTTGGACGTGGTGGCCCTTTACACTTCAGTCCCGGTCAATGAAGCCATCAACGTTGCCGTCGACAATTTTCCATCTACCACTGGACCACTTACAAGGGAAGACATTCAACAACTTTCCTATCCGTTCAGCTTGGACGCGGTGGCCCTTTACACTTCAGTCCCGGTCAATGAAGCCATCAACATTGCAGTCGACAATTTTCCATCCACCACTGGACCACTTACAAGGGAAGACATTAAAGATCTTCTAACTGTCCTATTACACAATACCTACTTCTGTTTCAATACTCAGGTTTTCCTGCAGATCGAGGACCTTCCGATGGGATCAAGCCTTTCAGGCATCCTAGCTATCCTGTTTATGGATAGGCTGGATTGCGGTGTTATCGACCTTTACAACATTTCCAACCCATACGATAGATATGTTGATGATATATACAGCCAGGCCTCAGATGAGAAAGAAGCAGATGCATTCCATTCTATTATGAACTCGGCACACCCACGGATACAGTTTGAAATTGAAAAGCCAAATACCTCCCCGGATGGTCGATCCCTTTCTCTGCTGGATGTCACGGTTACCATCAGACCAGACGGGAATACAGAGTTTGAATTCTACAAAAAGAAAGCAAAGAAACCTATCTTCATCAACTATAAATCAGCTATACCTAAGAAGACCAAGCGAAATATCATCCGTAACGAAATGTGACGTATAGATCAAAGATGCTCTAATCCAACTGCGAAAGAGAACCACCAGAAAGCATTCATAGATGTCTTTTCCCAAAATGATTACCCACGCAATTTCACGAATGAAATAAAACCCGAGAACGCATCACGTCGTCGTCACGAACCACCGCCAAACAATGATACCGATTGGTTATATCTCCGCACCCATTACATCTCAGATGCCATCGATAGCAAAGTTACCAACATTTTCAAAGACGAAGGTTTCCCCGTTAGAGTGGTCCACAGGTCAATATCATTGAGACAAGTTGATCGGGCTAGCTTGTTCTTCTTTCTGTTAATTTTAAATAAAGTATTACCTACCTACCTACCTACCTACAAGCGCTTGCTTCAGGCAGGAGAGAAAACATCAGAAACTGCACTCGATTTAATTGTACCACAGCCAAGCACAACTTATGTTTTCGGAAAAATGTTGTTTACAAAATCACCTGCGACCAATGCCATGACAACTGCATAGGGAGCACTATAAGAAATCTACACGACCGAGTCAAAGAACACCTGACACAAACCACCTCGTCCTTTTTCAATCACCTAAACTCCTGCCAACACAACAACAGCAACTTCAACATAACCGCCGAAGTTCTTACAAGCGACCCCGATACTGTCAATTTACGACTCAAAGAAGCCATTCACATCCATAAACCTAAACCAGAAATCAATTCCCGGGAGGAATACAGCGAACTATCGGATCTCTTATTTTAATTATTTTAATTATCTCATTAGCTTAATTACCTCCGCATCCCTTAGTCATCAACTCTCAGTTGTACATACTTTGCAATTCTAAATCAGGACACAGTATTTATAGTTGTTCTCACAAATAACTCACTTTGTCTCATATGATGTCGTAGACGACGAAAGCTAAGACGTTTTTAAACTTTATATATATATATTTTTAAATAAAATTTCCGCCTAACTTTACTTTACTTTTAACAGTAGCTTTTGGCCTCACTTGAACCAACAACAATAAAAGTGATCGCTTACCGTTATTCTGCAATAATTTATTGAACAGAATTTCCATGGGTATCTCATTTTTTTAAACCATTCGAACGGCGTTTTCCCTATCTTTTGCTATGAAATTTCAGGGACGGCGCTCGATGGGACATTTTGCGTGGCGCGTGGAACGCGTGACACAAAAATTGAGGTTATCCAGTCTGAGTTTCCTCTCTGTA